CCGGTCCCGGCGAATAGGTCCGGACCTCGAGGTCGCGCAATGGAAAAAAAACCATGACGTCGGGGGTCTGGGCCCGCAGCCACGAAAGCGGTTTCTCCGAAGGCGCGGGGGCTCCCGAGAAGCCAACCCGCCCGAGAAGACTTGCCCCTCCAATGTTCCCCCCTGGGGCTCGCCGCCGATCTGTGCTCAGGCCTCTGCACGCATCCGCAGCGTTTTCGCGTGCAAGTGCGCGCAGATGCGCACATGCTCCCGCGCCCGAAGGCCCGAACATGCACATGCGACTGACGGCGCACTTGACACCACTGCTTGTACCCATGCCGCTCTAGGCTGGTCTTTGTGTGGCTCCAAATGCAAATGGCTAAAATCTGCACGTGCTCATCGAGCCTGATCCACTGACATCTGTAGTCAACGTCGCTCAAAATCAACTGTCCGTCTTGCGTGGCGCACTCCTCTAGAACATGCGATTCGCCAATTAGTCAATGCTCATTGTTCGCCCAATGTGTGCCCATTGCCCGTCTCATACCGCTTTTTGCATACTGGTCGTCGGCCCCGTCATGTTTACGCGTTGTTTGCCAGAACTACTCAAACCTCAGGATCCTTCGCTCACTGCGTCGTGCCCCACCCCCTTCAGCGCAACGATGACCGCACGATATTAACAACATATTTACGCAGAATTCGGCTAAATTGGCGTATCGTTGCTAACCGGTGATCGGGATGAAAGCCCACCACTACTCTACAAACACTCTGGCATGAGGTATCGATGCCCTTCTGTGCTAAACTCACAGCCTCAATGGCCCAGGCCTCACAACTCACGGCCGCGTGTCGGTTGCCCGCCAGATAAGGCCAACGATCTGGCATTAGGTCGGGCATGTCCTCCCACAGGCGGATCTTTGACGAAAAATCAGAAATACACCCAAAGTGTTCAAAATACGAATAAATCGCCCCCAGATTATTTTTGACTAATTTTGAATATTCCTCCTGTGTGGGGGACGTGCCCGACTTAAATCAGGCAGTCTGCGTTGCTACCCCCATGGTCGCCAATCATATAACTGAGAGGCCTACCGCACCTCTAACCTCTCCACCCGCTCGAGCGCTGACAACTACCACGCTGACGACGGCGGCGGCGGCGACCACGACGGCAGCGGCGATGGTGGCGGAGGTCCGACTCTCGCGCCCAAATTCTGGCCTCTGGCGGCCGATCAAAACGATCTGGCAGCACATCGGGCCGATCTGGGCGTCCTGGGAACGCCCTCGACGAGGCGCCGCTGCTGCAGCGCATTCCGAGGCAAACCCCCAAGAGCCGACGCGAACGTCCGAAACCTTAATGCATCTGGAGGAGAGGGGGGCGGAGGAGGAGGAGGCGGAGGAGGAGGAGGAGGAGGGGAGGGGAGGAGGAGGAGGAGAAGGGGAGGAGGAGGAGGAGGAGGAGGAGGAGGAGGAGGAGGAGGAGGAGGAGGAGGAGGAGGAGGAGGAGGAGGGGGAGAAGGAGGAGTCCGGCGCCCAGGGTCGGTATCCCGAAGGCAGGCCGTGTATTGCACGCGCCCAGCCAACGAACTACTGCCCGGAAAGCAGCAACAGCTGCGCAGGAAGGGCATAGGGGGTGACCACGTCGCGTGTGAAGACTCGCGGCCCAGCGGTGCCGACATGGTGCGTTGGGAGCCAAAGGCATCCCAGTCGGAACAGCTGGCACGGCATACTGAGGAGCACAAGCTCCCCAGCCCTGGGTGGGCACAAGGCCCCTTGGGACCCACGTGGCACAAGCCACCGCCTCCCGAGGAGATGCCGATCCCTGAGGGTCAGATCACAATGAAATGACCGCACAGGCGCCGCTACCCGCCTTCACCAGCAGGGCCAGGCTGAGACTGGGGCCGTGCTACACCCAACGACGGGAGACCCGTCGATACAGGTTTCGCAACGTCCACCCTAAGCCCCAGAGCCCGCGGTACCAGAAAATTCGGCCAGTTGCACCCCGCCCAACCTGCGAAATAAAGTGCCGTGCGCAGTGTGTTTCGAGGGCGCTCGGCACTGACACCATGAAAGCAGGTGCCAGGCCTCACCGGGCGGGGCAGAGGAGAAGGAGGAGGAGGAGGCGGAGGAGAAAGGGGAGGAGGAGGAGAATGAGGATGAGGAGGCGGAAGAGGAGAAGAAGGGGAAGAATGAGGGGGAGG